GAGTTGGAAAGGGCATGGTGGTTGGAACTTTTGCCTGTGGTCCTTCCTGAAAGCACGCCTTTTCTCGTGTGGCAAGGTCTTATCATGGGCCATGGGCCAGCAGGATTACGGATATGCATCACTGAGTAGAGGTTTGACACGATGGGCGACCGACGTGAGTTGTTTCCGCGGTATCTAGGCGGGATGATTCAGACCGAATACGTGTAGCTGCGGATAGCACGGCTCGCAGTGGACATGGAGGATGGGGGACGATGTCATCAGTCATATTCGAGATAAGTTAGCTTGATTGTATCTTCATTGACGGCTCTTTACCTAGTGCGAAACCGGACTCGGTTGAGCAAAAAGGTTGCTCGTGTGCTCTTGGATATCCAAGACCGCCATAGCAATCATCGTTTCAAAACATTATTGGAAATTCTTCGTACGAGAATAAGAGAAAACTATGGATAAACAAAATCACACTCTTTCAACCCCACACAATGCCCATGGGGGACTCAAAGAGAACAAGAACCCCGGATTTCCCAAGTAGCCGGTCAAATTGCCGGATATGTATGGAGTACGCATACGGATTTCAGTATAACGAATCCTACTGTAACGTCCCCCAGCTTTCAACCAACTTGGCCCGCCACCAACGGCCAACTTCCGCAGGTTGTAAGACAAGGATTTTCCGAGCCCCGGTCTCTTGGAAATTCTTGGGAAGAGGCGGAATGGTGAATATTTTCCAAAGGAGTCGGATTTGGTGAACATAGCCTCTTGGATACAACCGCAACACACCCTACCTTAATGTACCGTTCCCTAGCCGCGGGACGGGGAAAAGGCTTGTTCTTGGCCGTTTTGACTCGTTTGTCTTCATGACCCTCCACATGATCCCTGGGGAAGTATGAGCTTTGCGGAGGTGGAATTGTTCCAAACTTGAACCTGGAGATGGCGACGAAAGACTCATATCAAGTACATGTATCCGTCTTGCCAACTGGCTGCCGCAACAATAGCACGAGAGAAATAGTCTTCTTCGATTCAAAGTCCGATACTCATATCCAACCTCTGCGGTTGAACTTTCACCCTTCTGCCCATCTTACACCTCGTTCACAAATTATCAGATACCCCTCCTCCCCCTTGTCCCACAATGATTCGACCAGGGGCCCCATAGGACGTTTCCCCTCCTCCCCACAACCCTTGTGCAGATCCCCTCCATCCGAGGCACGAACGAATCGTTGATACATCTTACCCCAGGCCTTGCGGTCGCCCATCGCCGAGAGACCATCTGCAAGTGCGGGCTGGGACCGCACGTGGGCACTGCGTTGCTTTGCCTGTTCATCATAGCACCAGGCAGGGCTCTTGATCATTGTTGTTTGAGGGCGTTGGTCTCAGCCTGTGTGTGGTCTATGTGAGACATGTAGTGAACCATATTCATAGATCAGTCCCTGCTCTAGAAACCTTCTTGATAGTTATCGAGATCATTTAGTTTCGTGAAGGAACGAAAGAGTCGACCTGTTGGCAGTATGGCAACAGACGGTATGCTTGGTCAGTGCCTCTGCATCGTTGTCATTGGCGATTCTCAGATAGGGTTGTACCCACAGACGGCACCAACCGCAAGCAACTTGGAACTTGATCTCTAACTTAGACCACTTGCCATGATGTTGACAACTCAAAAATTGAAGATTCTTATTGCTTGCCCGTTTCTCTATGTATCCTGGGCGTAATTGGCAAAAGGAATGCCCCCTCACGGGATTGAACCGTGGACCTTCGCATGATGTGCAGAAGTACGAGTGCGACGCTCTACCACTGAGCCAAAGGGGCGTGTTCAAGCTGACATCATGGGGCTTAACACACAACTATGAATAGAGCAGCTCTTGCCAGCGAGTTCTTGGTCGCGTGCTTCATTGAGGCCATCTCTCAAGAGTCATTCAACGTCGTATTACAACGGTAAGACAGACAGACAGACAGACCATCACCATATCAAGTACCGGACTCACCGTCCCCTCGGTAAACTTCCAGCCATCCTGGCGCCGGACCATCACCGACATAAGCTCCCCAGTGAACAAGCTTTCCTCCGTCTCTTCTATCCGCACGAATACCCTCAGTCCCTCGGTCCATGTCCGCGATAACAACCTCGGCCATCCCCCGTTGGCGTTGCCGGTAAACCGGAGGTATCCACTATGCACCATTGAAAATCGACACATGGCGCGCACATCCAAATATCCGTAATCCCATCCGCCCACGGGCGCCTCGGCCAGAAAGAAAAGAAGTTGCGCAGAAGAGTATCCACTTTTGCGGTCCTCTTTCTAGACTTGTTACGGATACTCACCGTCCAACCTCGTGCAAAAGTTACGATACACTCGGCCTTTGGACTTTACAGCGAGACTAACAGCGAGCATTTCCTGGAAGTCTGCTGCCTTTCGGGCTCTTTTCTCTTCTTTACCATGGAACTACCCGTGAAGCGTCGTCCCCCTGACCCCGTGCGCGAAATCTTGTTTCTCACTAACCCTGGACGAATCTTAGCCAAACTGAGCATGAGAAGGGAAAAAGAAAAAAAAAAAAAAAAAAAGAAAATAGACCGTTTCCATTTTTATCCTGTCATCGCAACCCACGAAACTTGGCAAACTCACTCACTCACGCTTTCCATATGTTCAAACCGGCCGGGACCCCGAAACACCACCCTCGGTAAACGTCCCGTAAAACCCACCTCTCTCTATGGAGTATCAAACGCAAACAACGTCGGAAGGTCGTTCCGACTTATTCAGCCTCGGACCCTGGCCGTGTGATCGTACGGGTTATGGGAACCGTCTGATCCATTCATCCAGAGAACACCGCACCACAGTTTCGGTACGACTGGTTCCCTTCTCATTCTGCCTCCCCTAGTCCAAACGCGTCAGAGTATTTCCTAAAAACGGAGACCGACTTACAGCTGGGGACAAGTACGTGGAAAGAATGAGTGAGATACCGCTGCGAGAGAAACGGTCCATGCGCACAAGACCACACCCGTCTCTACGTCTGGGGCCCCGGCACTTCGGCCCTCCGGCTCTGATGATACCCCGAACGACATCCGCTCGCCCAATGAATCCAACATCCCATACCGCCATGCCGCAAATGCCACATGTCAAATCTATTCCCTTGGTCCCTAGGCTGCTCGGTTCGCAAGCTGGCTGGCTCTCCCCATGTAACCTCCGGACGCATCTTGCATATACGCGCTAATCCCCCCAGATTTTCCCATGAACGGAAATCCAGAACCTATCCATAATCCTTTCCCTCCCCATCCCACTTCTTCCGCTCGCTCGCTTGCTCACTCACTCCTCTGTACTCCCACACCCCTCGAGAAACTCTGAACTGCAGTCTGGCATCATACAAACCTCTGTAGGCGATCCTCCATCGTCACACAGCTCGGAACTTGACCGAGAAGCACTTGCGAACCTTGAGAACCCTTCGTCCTATTAGAACACGGGGGGGGGGGCAGATCTGTATGCGTATCATCAGATCACCGCCCTCGCGACAATTGAACCCCCGTCTAAACCCGCCGAGCCTAACCGCACCGATGATCAAACGCCGGTGATCATCGTCGACGTGGCGGAGGACGTGCCGAGCCGGGTTCAGCTTACACAGCCCTCCCGACTCCAGTTCCAAACCCAGTTCGCCAGGTGCTCCAAAGAATCAACTTCTCAAGAGGGAAAAAGAAGTGCTCACGGAAAAGTGACCCGTCGACACGGATGCAGTCTCTTAGCCATCTTGCTTATCCATACACCATCAATAAGACCACCCAGAAAGCAAGGTTTCCCAAGATGTCAACTCTACACTATCTACCTTGGCTCAACCCGGACGATGCCCGAGATCCTCAGACACCTATTCCAAGAAAGCATCGCCGTCACAACCAGATGAGAGACGAGATAAAACCCCTACGTAAAAAGGGCGAACCGCTCTCCCTCCCTCCGGCCAACCCAAAAACCGACCTAGCTCGGAACATGCCCGAGTGGAGCCCCCCTCTCATCGCCAATCGTCCAGGGCCCGGGTGACCGTGCAGCTTCCTCAACCACTTTTTTCCAACCGGTCACTCTCCGGGCCTTCGGGGAAAAGAATGGAGTATCAGGCGCAAGAAATGGGCCGATGAGGACCGATTGCGATGGGGGAGAAGCGAAAGAGGGTCCGGTTCGGTGGTCACTACTCGTTATATCATGACGGCATCCCGGGCTAAGAAAGGAAATGGAGTGACGACGATACGGCACCGCCAAACGCGAACGAGATTGCCGACATTCACCGAGGTTTTTTTTGTCGGCTCGGTGTTGAGGGAAGATCCAGCTTTGAATCAGACTGAACCAAATCAGATCAGATCAGATCATTGCCCACACAATGGAGCAATCCGGCGTCTTGACCAAGATCATGGCGGGTGGTCTTGCGGGGGTTTCAGAAACGCTTGTTACTGTGAGTGGAAAGTCTCATCATCCATGTCCCCCGGAAAGACTAAACATAGAACACGTGTATTGCGTCGACGCACTCACTCACTCTCTCACTTACACTCACTCACTTTCACCTTTCGTACACAACTTCCAAACATATCGGGCACGCCTGGGAGACACGTACATGGGATGAACAACCATACTGAAGAAAGTCTAACACTAAGTCTCTTCGACACAATGTAGTACCCAGCCGAATACGTAAAGACACGCCGCCAACTACACTTCAAATCTACCGCCAACGCAGCAACCGCAAATGCCAACCCATTACCGCCTAGCTCCCTCGCCATCATCCGCGACACAGTCCGCACCTCGGGCGTGAGGGGGATCTACTCCGGCGTCCAGGCCCTCGCGGCTTCCAACGCCGCAAAATCCGGCATCCGATTCCTCGCCTTTGAGACGACGCGCTCAAAGCTCGATGCACTCTCCGGCTCGGAATCCCCGGCATCAGGACCGGGAAAGAAGCCCCGCGCGGCGTGGATCAACGTCGTAAGCGGTCTCAGCGCCGGCGTAGCAGAGTCCATCGCTGTCGTGACGCCAGGCGAAGCCATCAAGACCAAGATGATCCACGCCGCCGCCACCTCTTCCTCTTCCTCGTCCGCAGGCAGCCGCTTCGCAAACCGGGGCCTCATCAATGCCGTCAGGATCCTCCTCCGCGAAGAAGGTGTCCGAGGCCTATGGAGCGGCCTGACGCCGGTTCTCTGCAAACAAGGAACCAACAGCGCAGTCCGCTTCACGACCTTTGCGATGCTCCAGGAGCGCGTGGCGGCGCGGTGGCCTCAGCTCGAGGGCGGCGTCGGGAGCACCCTCGTCCTGGGTGGTGTGAGCGGTGTGTTTACGGTGTATGCGTCGATGCCGTTTGATAATATCAAGACGAGGATGCAGAGCGTGCAGAGTGCTGATGCGCGGTATACTGGTATGGTGGACTGCGCAGCGAGGATTCTGAGGAGTGATGGGGTTTTTGCGTTTTGGAGGGGCACGTCGCCTAGGTTGGTCCGGTTGACTGTAAGTTGATGCTCTGGCTGGGACTGATGGTGAGAGGATGTTTGGCTAATGTGGATATGTACAGCTTTCGAGCGGCATCACGTTCACGGTCTATGATCAAGTCGTGCGTCTGATGAAGTCAGCGCAAATAGACCGCAAGGCCAGCGACCTACATCGCCTATAAAGAAAGCCAAAACGTCGCGGAACCAGGTGTAGTGGGGATATTTCTTTTTTCTTTTCTTTTCATGTTTCGTTTAATTCTGGTAAGTGAATCTTTTGATGCATAAATCGAATAGTTTCTGCTTGCTTTGTTCTTTTGCTATTCATCTATCGCGCCGACTCTGACGCTCAACGGTTCTATAGAAGACATGGTCTGGAAGACCTGCGGATCAATGGCAAAGGCCTCGGGGCCGAGGGTGTCGACAAAAGGGAAGTTGTAAATCTGCTCGGGGGAACTGGTGGCCTCCGGACCGGGCGGTACGGACGCCGGGGGCATGTTGTTGTTCTCGGCGCCGGCGCCGTGACGGCTTTGCTGCGGGATGCCGTAGGTTGCCATTGGCGGCGTCGCGGCCGTTTTGGGGAGGCCGAGGGCGCCGATGTCGATGCCTAGGCCGACGAGCTCGCGGGTGATGAGGTTGAGGGCGCTGCTGATGACTAGGGGGTGGGATGTGGTCAGTCAAGTTCAGGGTCCAGAGTTGGTCTTTCTTCCCCTCGGCTGGAATATGTCGAGAGGGATCGTGGGAATACTTCAATGTCTTTACTTACCCGGGTTAATGCGCTTCACGGATGCTAGGATACGGACGCAGTACTCCAGCCTGCGAAGCGCTTGTGTATCCTCGACGCTGGACTGCACCTGAAGCAGGAAGATGGACGCCGCAATGTACACGCTATACGAAAGGGAGAGAACACAGTGGCTGATGCCGAAGGAACGGCAGAAGAGGTCAAAGATGGCGATGATGCCCGTTGCCGAGGTCACGCACTCGCCGAGGTACCGCTGCACCGGCTGCAGGTTATCGCCTACCCTTCCTCGCTGAGACAGCATGGGGCGGTAGAGGAGGATCTTGAAGGTGCGGTAGAGCACGCTACGTGGGAGGGTGAGGACGTCAGCATCTCTCACTACAAAAGGGGGTCAACCGGACTTACTTCAACGTAATGATGTGCGACGGCGGCGCCAGGGCCGGGAGAGCCGTGGGTTCGATCTTCAGGTGCGGAGGGAGTTCGTCCCACCATTGCCGCAGCGCGACTTCTTGCTTGGCGAGACAGTCCTGCATCTCGGTCTGGCTGTTGGGCCGCACGGGGTCGTACATGTGGACGAGGATCTCATTGAAGGTTATCGAGAGACGGCACATTTGCATGAAGCATGAGGTGGAGTGCGCCGCTGCGGGGGGATACTTCCAGCCGCCTTCCGGTACGACGCCAAAGGGCGTCCACGACTCGTTCTCGGCCGAGTCGTCGACTATTATTTCGTCAGTCAGCACACACACACTTCAAAACTCTCCAACCCAACACAGAAAAACATACACATAATCTGCGGCGGCGACACAGACGTCTGCTGCAACGAAGGCGACCGCCCAAGGTACAGACTAATCATCTTATCCCAGAAATAGCAACTCCAGAACAAGCGATGACGGATCTCGACATCCTCGTCAGCGAGCTGCACGGAACCGGGGTACCGCTGCCCGTCGACGCAGATGCCGAGGTGGTCGATGATGCGGAATGCGAGACCGCTGTACGTCCACGCCTGGGCGCTGTTGCCAACGCTGCACTCTTGCGCGCTGAGGAGCAGGAGGGTCTGGACGGTGGGGATGGAGCAGACGCCCTGGCTGAGCTCCTCAAAGACCATGCTGCGCGCGTGCTTGCCGAAGAGGGCGCCGCCGTCGTAGAACTCGTCGAGCTTGTCTTTTGTGGCCGGGTCGCTGCGGCCCCAGCGGATGGAGTGGGAGAGGACTGCGTTCATGAGGGTGTGGGAGTAGTATGGCCCTAATGTCTGCATGTCACCTGTGGGGATGGTCAGTTGGCGAATGCCAGGAGAAGTCAGGCGTTGTCCTCACGAGTAAAGGCAGGTCTGTAGATGAAGTTGAAGAGAGGTTGGATCCAGCACCAGTGGACGTTGAGAAGATATTGAAACGGTTCCTAGACGAGGATCAGATCAGCTCACACGCCACTTTTCCGCGAGTAGTTGACTGAAGGTTGGAGGAGGAAGAGCATACCGGTATATCGGACATGTTCTCGAGCGCCCTCTGCTGCCAGGCGTTGGCCACAAGCCTCTCACGCCTCTGCATAGCCTGATCAGACGTCGACTGCTGGTCTCTCGAGCCAGACGGCCTATCACTCGGTAGCTGGAAGAAGCTCGTGGAGCCATGATACGTAATGGCGCCCTTGTCGTCGACCTTGAGGCCCTTGAAGCTCTCGCTCACAGACTCTTCATCCTGCGACTCAAAGTGGTGAGGATCTGTCATGGGCGACTGGCCCGCTGACGGCCCGATGCTGGGCGATGATGTCCGGGAGGGTTCTGAGGGTCCTGCTCCCGTTCCCGCTCCGGATGGCGCATGAGCTCTTGCCGCGGCAAGCTGTGCTTCTAGTTCCTTTATGCGATGCTCCAGCCGTGACGTGTATGATAACGTCGGGTTACTTGTTGTCCGACATGGTCAGTATGTTACACGGGAATCGCCGGGATGTATGGCGAACATGAGAGATTCAGGCTGCAGGTGAGATCAGGGTGGTTGCAAAGAGAAAAACTCACAGTTTATAGACGCACTCATCCGCGCGGGCAGCACACCGATTACATGTCGGCTGCTCTCCACCACATTTTACCTGCCGTCAATCCCGGGTCAGCATCAACTCAGGCCGCCATGCTCCGATCCGTTCGCGATAACGCCGTGCCGGAAGTTGTGCGGGATGTCCGTCGTCCCGATTCGCTCTTTCCCCCGCCCTTCCGTGCCGTGATGCCGTTCCACACACCTTCGCCCCCAACCACCCTTCTCTTGGGAGTCGATCCCCCCCCCGGCCATGTAGTGTATCTCCAAGCCTGGTTACCTCAGGCAGGATCATCAAACATTGCCTGAGCCTCCGCTACCCTCCGCAGACCCGAGTGGTGGCAGGGCAGGGGTGCGGGTTGTGGCGCGGAATGCGGGAAATGAGGCGCACCACGGCGGAGGGGTGGTGGTGCGGCGTGCCGAAGAGAGACAGACAAGGTGGGGGATAAGAGAAAGCACTCAAAAGCGCGCGCGCAAGAAGAATACGGAAACACAAAGAGAAAGGAACGGAGACAAACGTACCTTGCGACGACGACATGGTTCGCACGAAAAGGCGCTCTTCTTGATGGCCCTCGTGGAGGACATGGTGATGTTCCATGGGCTAATTTTCTGCCTTGCCCTTCTGCTGTTTGCGCCTGGTCTGAGGTGGTTCCCTCCCCGAAGTTGATGCGGGACGGAAGAAAGTTGAACTTTGGGCCCTTGTTGTGGAGAAGGGGGAATAGCGAGATCGGGCTGGACCTATGTGTCTGTGGTCTGCTTGATGTTCCCAACGCATATGTGCGCTTGCAATTGACCATTTCGATTGCGACGGGACCGTAGGGTAACTTGGGGCTACGCCTGGCGCCTGGAACGGCTTCGGCCGGGTCGGGAAAGTCGGGAATCGCGGGACCGGACCCCACTCTTCAGCACCTTCTCTGCTAATTTTCCGCCCTAAGGCCAACTGTGACGCGCCTGAGACGTCCCATGAGCGAATCAGGATCCACTACGATAGTCTTCCGGCCAATCGATAGCCTCAGCCTTGCTGTTGGGATCCACTATTTCCTCTTGGTCAGCGGCTTTCCCCGATACGTCTCTCCGATAATCGCCCCGCTATGAAGAGTGGATCTCTTTCACCGAGCTTCAGTCTCGCTGTCTTCACCTCGCAAGGTGTAGGTTCCACTCACCGAGTCACCGAGATCCCAAGGAACTTCCATCACACCCTCCTCGCATTCACAACCTCTAGATGCACTTCCCACTTCCCACTTCACTCTCTGAGCCTCGTGAGATGCACAAACACTCCAAGTGAGGCCTTCCATCTTCGCAGGCACGGCAAAGGCTGGGGTCCAGACAGCCGGGCACGCCAAGACCTTGCTGCGCCGTAAGATTGCAGCAGAGACTTGACCTCAAAGGGAACTGGTCTCCGGACCTCTCTCCTTCTTGATCGAGACTCGGCTGAAAAACATGAGCTTCATATAAATACAAAACTCACAGCCCGCTATCAAGATGAGCCGATTTCAATCGTCATCTCCTAAAGACACCTTCGACCGCTGCACAAAACCACCGTAGACCACAGCCCTTGATCAGTTTCGAGCCCCTGTAAGCGCACCACAGTCTCGCAATGGCCACCTCGACGATAACCTCGTCTCCCACGCGCTCTCCACCCTGGTCAGCCACTCCAGCCCGCGAATGCCTCAGTCCCCGCGAAACAATCCGCACAAATTCCTACTGCGGTTTCTACGCGACTTCATGGGGCGGGTGCCCTTCTGGCTACGCGCCGGCTTGCAGCGCGGCCATGGACACAGCCGACCCGTTCGTATCGAAGCGGACGGTCACCGACGGAGGCCAGGCAACCTTGAACTATGAATGGTGGCTGAAGAGTCACTCCCAAGTGATATGTTGTCCAGGGTAAGTCAAGCGACCCTTGCGAAGGAAAGAATTAGGCGACCACGCATAATTCGCGATCTTCTTTTAACACAAAACGCACCTACTAGCACAATGCCTTGGTCGTGTACATCTGGCACCGGCATCGATCCAACAGCCTGGCCAAGGCAACCAACAAACTGCATGTTTACCACGGCTGCCGGCATCTACACCTCCAACCCGGCCCAAACCTTCTACGCCTACGGCATAACCTACTCCGTGGAAGTACGCGAGTCCGTAGCATCTACATCGAGACTGGCCAATTACGAAACATCCTACTTTGGAGATGGGAAACCTACCAGCGAGGTCTGCGATGAGACGTCCTGCAGCGGGGCGTTCACGGTGCCAATATCCACGTCCACCTATTCCTCCTACCCGTACGCGACGGCTACGCCCGGAGACGCGGCGGCGACGGACGGACCGTTCGTCTCGCAGCCGCCGGAGAAGATGGGACAGCTCGGCCCGCTGGCCATTTTTGCGATTACGGGGCTGTTAGGGGCAGTGCTGCTGACCATTGCGCTCCTGTCTCCTTTCGTGGGTGAGTATTTTCGACGGAAGGAGGAACAGAAGCGGTCGCGGACGATAAATCCCCAGTAGACACATCCATTTTCGGGTCAAAACATGATGAACGTGATAGCAGCGGGGCGTTTGGTGGATAAAGTGGTTGTGGAATTCTTAATTAATGGTATCTTCTTTTTCGCTGGTGGGTATCTCTTCATGTGGTTTTTCTCAAGCAAAAATGCAATGGGTGCCAAAAGTCAGGACCTCTGTGCCCTGTTCCGGAAATGCAGTCCAGTAAAGCCAGTCCCCTGTGCTCTAAACGCCTCGCCAAACAGATCGCTCAAAAGCGTAAAAAAAAAACATATCGCCCGACGATGCTTTGACGCATTATACCTGCATCATCTCACTTTCATGTCGTGTTCTGTCGTTGGTGAATTCGAACCAGGCGCGCGCAAGCAGACCAAACTCGGACATCCTGGTGGAGAAGTTAGAATCAATGAACGATTTGATGAAAAGGAGTGAGATAATTCTGTAGTGAGAGATGAAAAGTGAAGATGAGATGAGGCTGAGTGAGAATGAGGGTTGGAGTGAGATGGGGAGTGAGTGTGAAGTGGGGGTGAAGATGGTGCATGAAAGAAGGTGGCTCGACTTACATGATGAGTCCCAGCAGGAACGCCAGAGCGGCCTCATACTGAATGTACGGATACGCGTAGTACCCGTTGGACTTCTTCGACTCGATCTGGATAACGAGCAGAATCCAGCAAATGGTGGTGCCAAGCGTGAAACATAACTCCATGCCAAAGTGAAAATGCTTCGGGATGCCGCTCCGGTAAGCGTCCCTCTTGCGCCAGATGACGGTGATGAGTGACCAAATGAGAAGAATACATGACTGTGAAGTGGTCAGCCAAGTCTCGGATATCGCAGCATTTCATGTATCCTCGACACATGCGTCAAGGACAGGAACTTACAATCGGTACAGACAGCCACAAGCTGTAAAAGATAGGATCCGCCGGACTCGTCGAATCATTAAGATACTTGCCCCTCCGCGAGCAGTAAATGTTGATATTCAAAAAGATGACGACCAAAGGCACAATGATGGCGAGCTGGCGCAGGACGTAGTACATGTACGTGCACCTCCTCCTCTTGCGGTTGAAGCGCTCATTCTCGGGCGATTTGGCGCTGCCGCTGGATCGACAACTTCGGCCACCGCCGGGTTGTTGGCCGTACCAGTACTGCTGTTGATGTTGCGAGATGCTCTGCGACGATATCGATGCGGCGTCGTCGTTGTTGTAGTAGTATACCTGTGTGACCTGCTCGTCGTTGGCGTACATTTGGCCTCCTGGCGGTTGGTTGTATCCCTGGCTGTAGGGCGGCGCTGAGTAGCCTTGGTGGGTGTAGGCGCCGTTTTGGAGGGACATGGCGGGCGAATTGTGTGTCGGTGGTGGTGGATGGATGGCTCTGTAGGTTTTCCCTTTTTCCTCTAATCCCTTTCTTTTACTCCGTCTCTATTTCCTTCCTCGATGTTGCTGGGAAGTCGTCTTTTGGATATCTTCTTCGATATGTGTGGACCTCCAAGCGCAGATTCAACACCACATGCGACAGCTTGTTGGCGCAGGCATGAGTGGACTTTTATGGAGACACGAGTGAGAGAGTGAGTGAGTGGTGCGTGAGTGAGCGGTTGAGTGGACGTCTGGAAAAGGCTCCAAGTGGACACGGAAGAAGGGTGAGAAGGCTGAAGAACCGGATACCAAAACGAGCTCATAAGCCGGAATATGTACGGCGGGCTTCAGCAACCCTTTTAGTCTTCCCAAGGGCGTGGGTGTGTGAGAAGAGTTAACGAAGGATATGAGAGAAAAAAAAGCCCAGAGACCGCCGAGATGCTCTAATTGCGCCTGACCCTCTCCCAAGAAAAGACCGAGAAAAACTCAAAACAGGAGGGCGCGAAAATAAGAGTCAAGACTTCAAGGAGGAGGGAAATGGGGGCAGCAGAAAAGAAAAAGGTGCTGTGTGGCCTGGCAAAAGCCTGGGCACTCGGCCTGGGCAGCAGCAGAGGGAACAAGGAGAATTAGAATTTACTCCTATACGAAAAATACACACACCCAAGCGCACATGAGAGTCTTGGCATTCTGGCACTCTGTACTTCGAACATACTCTGTGAGAGACTGGAGAGGTCTCAAATGTGCTGCTCGCCAAGTCGCGCTATCAGCTCACTGACTCCAGAATTGGCCACAGAGGCCGTCTTGGCCCGCCTAGGCTCGTAGGGGGTGGGTGAATACCCATTCACATTTCACGATGATGTTGTCTTGGCGGCCTTGGCCCCCTGGGCAACTGTTCCTTGGAGCTTGGGGGAGAGGAGGCCTTGGGGGGGCGTGTCAGATTCACTTTGGTGACTTTCGTCCAGTTCATCCCTTGGCACACACAGCCATGGCAGCGAAGGAGGTTTTTGCCAAGACACTGCCAGCAGAACAGAGCGGCGAGCCACATGTTGGAGCGCCCTGGGGACACCTTGGGTCCTGGGGTGAAGCAGCAGCGCCTGTCAGCCTGCCAGAGGCTGTTTGTTCGATTGTAATTGTCGGGATAAGGGGGGGCTGTTGTGCGCTTGGGAGATGTTACAGCCAAACCCGCCAAGAAGGCTGCGGCCTGCCGCTCTCCCACCAAACAGAACTCTCAGACTGACAGGTCAGACTCTAGCTAGGCCCCCCCCCCCAAGACTCTCAGGTCCGCAGACGCCGAGAGGCAACGGTGAAGGAGTGACATGCGCTGGCCTAGCCACCTAGCCTCCTGGGCAGCTCGCTGTGCCGGCGCTATAGGTCTTGTGGTGTCTTGGTAGTTGAGGTTATCAGTAAGTAGGTAGCACAGGAGCACTATGGCACAAGCTTCCTCGGTGCGTCTGGTGTTTGCTGAGCGCTGCGGGCAGAGAGAGCTCTCGCTGCCAAGAGCCTTGGGAATTCTTGTCTCGGACGCGATAGTCTGACTTTGTCGTACAATGATAAGGTGGCAGGCGAATTGTGAGATTTCGCCATGCCTTTTGGCGCGCCCGTCCGACTCGGCATACCTCAGCAGCGCCGTGACCGGTCCAATTTCCCATCCCGCCGTGCTAATTGCCATAAGTCTCCTGTCCGCCTCCAAGCTCCTGGGCAGCGCGGGAAGAAGTCTCAAAAACATCAAGACTTCGTCACTTCGTGATGTGGGAGATTGGCGTTTAGTCATGGATCACAAGGGTTGGTGGTACAGAAAGGATCATCAAAGTTCTGGGCGGGCACTCCATCTCTTCCTATGGGGGCCTTTTCCTTTCCATCCTGTTGGCCGTCATCGACGAACAATGCGCCCTGCAACCGTCGTGCAGCTTTGCTCCATCTCAGCGTGTACGAGTACCGAGACATTTGCTTTTTTCGCCTGTTTGCAGCAACGGTTCACTCAACGACGCGGGCGTTCGAGACTGAGCTGTCAAGAGTGAGACCGGGACCGAAAGGCTCGTCGCTGTGTCTTTCCCACTTCTCATCTCCATTGCTGGAATGGCAAGATAGCGGAGGACTCGTGAAATGCCACGGCAAGAAAACAAGTTGATGAAAAGCAACCATCACGCAGGTAAGTTTCCATCTATTGATACCGAGTCGCTGCCGAGTCGAGAAAAGTAAAAAGATGAAATCAACAAAAAGCAAAGAGCAAAGGTTCCCCAGAAACTCTCTTCTAGATCTCCAGGGTCCAATTCAGGGGGGGTTTTGGGAAGGATGATTGGCACTGGGCATCCGCGCAATCCCTCATTTCCTTTCCCCAAAACCTTGCAAAATTGCCCCGAACCGCTGCTGGAAAGGTTGGCTCAATGATCTAGGTATCACGCCAGCCAACAGTGACTGTGTACGCCCAGACACCAAGGAAATATGAGGTATGTCTTTCTTGGCGTGCCAAGCCATCACGGCAAACCGCGACTCAGGTCCAATTCATTCTCACTCAGTGAGTCTGAGGCCTCATTCATTCACTCACTCAGACCTGTTCGCCTCATCTAGACTTCAATGTCCCCTTTGCCCGTGCCAGCGCTGATCTTCTTGACCGCTTGGCACGGCACGGCAAGCAGGAAAATGACGAGCTTGAAGCCAATCCCCCAGAAGGTGGTATGAGATTGAGGATCATTTCGATAAACTTCCACCGCCATGCCCGCAGGCGCGCTCACCTGATCATTTTCATAGTTTGCGATACCCCACGAGTAAGACATAGTGACTCAGCCTTTTCTCCAGGTGATGCTCCGGGGGATCGTCGTCGGTTGTTCGACGTCGCCCAAGGACTAAAACCACCAAAAGATCCAATACTGAGAGTGATCTGCGGCTGGGCCCGTACGACGGTGCTCAGTAGCTCCGACGAACCTTGAAAGCATGAAAGCGGTCTCAAACTCTCGATCGTTACTGGGCAGTCTTGGAGTTTTGCTATTCAGGTATACTATTTGGTGCCACGGCTGGGCTTCTTCTTGACCGAACCACAATCAGTCATGCATAGTTCTTGACAACCTCATCAATGGCGCGGGCGGCCTGCCTTGATGTTTTCTTGGTGCCAAAACTCCGCCCTCGGGATCGCATGGTACCGGTTACGCAGCGCTACGTCGTTTGCCTTGCCCAGAGCATTGGCGGTGCTTCGGCCAAGGCTGCTCGTCCCACGCAAGGGGATGGAAAACAAAGGGCAACGGAACAAATGGAAATACCAATGCTGGGCACGCAGGTGCACGCACCGCAAGCACGCAGTAATCGTCGCGGCCGAGTCGGCCATATTGGCGGCTTGGCATTTCTGTGGAGGGGCAGCGCAGCCCTTTTTCACTTTTCACTTTTTCTGATTTATTTATTCTCTTGGCGGTGCTCGGGTCTTGGCATCGCAGTGAACATGCCGAGTCGGAGATTTCCGTACCTCATTGCCGGTACTTCCCCAGACAAATATGAATTATTCTTCAGATTTTGATACAATGCATTTGCGGCTCAATTGCCGACACTGGAATTCTTGGAAACGGCATCGATATCCGGCCTGCAAACTTACTCACAGTATGGTCGTTGGTACCAGTCTAGGTGGGATGCTCTCAACATGAAATCTCAAAAGAATGTTTTCCCTGGAATTCCGTGTTCCACCACTTCTTGGGTATCTGGAGGTCACGCGGTTAGCAACGGCATTGGCAGCAGACTGCTCGCTAGCTTGACTTCACAAGGCCTCAATAAGATGGCAAATGATGGGCTACATAATTCATAAATCGTAAGTCATGATACAACTCGAATGCGTACGCTTTCTCCAAAAAGTCACAACCGAAACAATGTTTTCTTGCCTGTAAGGGTAGTGTGTCTGAATGTGTCTGATGAAAAGAATCTTGTGGGAAGATAAACCAGAAACCTTCCGACGATATTTGGGGTTCTGGAAGATCTATGAGACTTGTAATATTGTGTTGAGCCATCCAATTGTTTTCCAGCTATATGTGCATCATTCAGGCAATTATCTCATCGACATGCGTCTGTGATCTTGCGTAGTGAACCTCCTCGACGGCGCCTCCAGAAGCCCTACCTGGACTGGGTTCCGAGTGCAAGCTGGCCTGTCCATCACGCCGTCTGAGAATGAAGACTCGGAAGAACTGTCGGATGCTAGGTGCACACGCCGTAAAAATTCCTACACCAATCTCAATTATCGACCACGTAGAGATTGGTAGCGAGTTCACTGATGTAATCCGGTCGTATGAGCGAGGGCAAGTAGGTAGGCATTGGACTTGACAGAGGCTTACCTGTAAAGTTGTATGTCTCTTGATGGTCTTCAGTGAGGAGTCTCAGTCGGACTGAGCTGGCGGCCGTAAGACTAGGATGAGGGATAAAGTCGTCAGACAATTTCAGAAATCCGGTGAGGGCCAACCTTGGAGGGGACGTACAAGAGACCTAGGCTGAACATAGCCATCAGGCTGGACTTCTTCTCCCATTTCAGATTCAAACTTTGAATCTGCATCAGGGGCAGAGCAAGCATCCAGAGATCTAGTCCAACTTGGATGGCCCCATGAGCTATTCCGATATCGACGATGTTCATGCATGTTCCTTGGCTTTGAGCGTCTTGTCTCCAAATCGTCCAAGCAAGGTGAACCGGGTTACATTGAAAGATGCCGAGGAAAAGGAACATTACTCCAGTGATCAAGTTGAATGCTTGCGTTGCCCAGAGTGCGATGCTCAGCCGTTTGAAAGGAAAGATTCGCTGATATAGGAAGAGAACGGATGCTTTCAAAAGAGTTATCGTGCAGTGGTATAGGGCTTGCAAAACGTAATACCCCTATCAGTAGACTTGTCAGGCACTCTGCTCAAAACGATAAATGCGATTATAAAGTTACTCACCTTGAAGCAATTGGTGATTTGATCGGCGGTCAAAGACCACATGTTTTGACCAGCACCATTCCTGCCCTCTTTGAAGACGGATTAGCCACCGGGAACACTCATGCATTTTGAAAAGACTCTTCTAACAAGTAAATCTAGATTGACCTACCATAAACATTCATCGGCACGAAAGCTACGAAAACTGCCTAGGTTCCGTCAGTCATATGGTCCAAACAGCTTGATCAAGTGCAGACTCACATACGCGCCCAGGATCATCCAGTCGTCAGGCCCCCACGCAGAGACGCCAGCGACCTTGACTGCCACTCGCATGAAGATTGACAGAGAAGCCAGCACGAAGAAGACCGTTAATGTGGGGACTTGTGTTGAAACATAATCATTGACTTCTGGAAGCCCACATGCTGTCCAAGTATAGTTCTGAGTGGCTAATGAGACCTGGTTAACTCCTAGCTCGCACCACCGCGTGGAACATGAAGTCTTTCGTACTTACCTAAGGCATCAGCTGACAAGCAGTTGCTCGTAACGCAAGCATCCATGAAACTCATGTATGCCGTGTCATTACATAGGCATGGGTGGTTTGCTGTGAGACAGGATGAAATGCTCAAGCCTTGCACGAGACATGGTCGCTGCCGTTGAGTATCCCGTTAGTATTAGAGGAAGGGGCTTCGGCTTTGGATGGTTCGGCATACAGCACATGATGGGAGTTTGTCAATCGACGGTGCCCGTGCGGTCGCCACTCCAGGAAGGAGAAGGAGATACCATGGCAGCATGCGTAGTGAATGCATCGGGATCAACGATGCTACCCTTGAGGCTAACGCTCCAAGTCTCTTAACTAAGTGAACCTCGTCTGCCAAGCAAAAGACAAGGGCCAAGCGGAGTATTCGCAGGTTTTAACGACCAAGGATGTTGAGGGTTGGGATGCGGCTTGGGGCATTGTGAGTGTAATTGACGGCGGAAAGGCATGAAGTCGATGACCATGGTCGCGTTGTCGCGACTAGCGACTCACTCGACGCGTCGATGGCTCCAGACCTTGGGCAATTCTCATAAAGCTGGCAAACGCGGCGGCTTACACTCGCACCATCGCCTGAAAGAAATCATCTTTGAGAAACCGGAGAGGGTCTAGCGTCGTCGGTAGGGAGCGTAGTGCCGCGATTCCTGTTTTCAGTCGGCATGTTTCCATTGTTTCTTAGACACATGAACTTATCCGGATTAGCGATGAGCCGATGACCCTGTCACCCTGAATTCCTTCATGAAAGAGAACCCAGAAGCGCGATGCTTCATTTAATTAGGGATCACACTACAGCGTAATGCTGGGTATCGAACAAGCTACCAGGACACAGACTGACCTTGCCGTCCTCGAGGTCCCGTCTCCGATAGGTCCGGACGGTGGCCCACTTTCCCCGGGTTTGTACATCGGACCCGGTCCCCAATCACCGGCCGATTCGGCTTAGAATTGGTTGTCCAGCTGCGGCCGTTGGTGACATCCTAATCCAGCTGCCACAAAGCCGATTTACCGAGTCTCTTCATATGATATGACTACCGTCCCTTACCCCATGGCCAGAGCAGAGACGATCAAAGTCATTACCAAGGCTTCAACCGCCTTCGTAAACCCAAGTCGCAATCGTCATCTGAGAACATTGTCGACCGAAGCTCTACATATCAAGGTACGTTGGTTTCGCTTTGCGACGAAGGGCCTTTAATAGTTGCCATGCCACATCCACTTGGCTTCTCATGTGTCAATTCGTTGCCTAACTCTTGTCCTCATCACTACATCGCCGCGGAACAAGCCCCAGAGAAACATTGACGTCAGCCAACCGGCCCAGCTGCCGTAAAGTCTTGGTAGGGACCAGAGCTGACGCACGCAGTGGAGTCGCGCGGTCCAGCACTGCCGCAAGGCCCAACGATGGACCCCTGAGCGTTGTATTGTCAGCAACTGACAACAAACTCCGGGGCCCTGTTTTCTCCAACTTTAACGCTTCCCGTCCAGTCCGCTGTGTGCTAAAGACGCGCCGTCTCCAACTACCCCTCACACCATCTCAGTTCGTCTCATCTTATCCCATCTCATCAGCCGATAGATTCATTCGATTATCAAGGTTTTGAAGGTCTTGTAGAAGTTGAAGCTTTAAAGAGAAGCCATTCACTCGCCTTCGATGGGAGCCTGCTGTTCGACATCCGACGACTCGTCACAGCACGAACTCCAACAAGCACGCCCCGCCCCGCCGCCTCAAAACCAGAACAACATGCCGCCGCCGCGCGACCACATCGTCACGCTCGAGAAGAAATGGGGCTACCACGCCATTGACGGATATGAACTGAACAACAACACCTGGGGCCTCGAAAGCGCGACGTCGGGCTCGCAGCGCACGCACTACGACGGCCCCAGCCCGCCCGGTGCGTCGGGTGCCCAGGGTATCTCGTGGTCCACGGACTGGGAGTGGCAGGGCGGCGAGCACAACGTCAAATCGTACGTCTACGGCGCGAGGCAGTTCCAGCGACGGCTCTTGAGCGAAATCCAGGCGCTGCCGACGGAGGCCGAGTGGCATTACAGCACGTGGGATGTAAGGGCCAATGTGGCGTATGACATCTTCACGGACCCCGATAAAGACCACGCCAACAGCAGCGGAGAATTCGAGGTTATGATCTGGTGAGTTTGATGATTGGTATTTGATTGTGGTCAACCCGCTGATAAGTGAACGTGTAGGTTGGCAAAGTTGGGCGGTGTGTGGCCCATCAGTGAGTCCAAGGCGCCCATCGCGCATGTCGAGATCTGCGGGCATCAGTGGGAGGTTCACTTTGGTTACAACCACGGCGGCGCTATGAAGGTGTACAGCTTCCTGCCCGTCAACGGCCCCATTCAGCACTTCAACGCCGACGTGAAGCAGTTCTTCAACTTCTTGAGCCACCAGTTCCAGTTCCCTCAACACAACCAATACATGCTCGGTGAGCCTCCTCTCTAATTGACCTGCTTGTCCCGGCTAACAGAGCGGCTAGTCTACCAGCTCGGTACCGAGGCCTTCACCGGCGGTCCTGCACAGTTCGTTGTGCCCAAGTTCATTGCCGATGTCATCTAGGTATAGTTATAAGATGCGGCCCATGATATTTGTTGCTTCATGATACCACAGAGAATCCGTCATTAGACGAGCATCCCTTGAAGGAAGGCGCTCATTGCTTCTATAGTCTATAGTAGTAATACACATATAATACATGGTGAGGGAAGATGATTCAGCACCGCCTCCAAGGGTATCACGCAACACAGTGGTCAGCACCGGCAGTTACCAACAGCTTAGCGTACTGCTGATGCAAGAAGACCGCGGGCCCAGGTAGTGGAGCACCTTTACCGTCGCTCACTCCGTTGAGGAGTATTGACTTGAGCTTGAAGCTGACGACTCGAGCCTGTCGGTCGAGGTCCGCATCTAGGGTTATGATACTGTCCAACTCGCGTGGGCCATCGGGCGCTACCCTGGGGGAGAGCCCGCCCCGCAGCAGGATGCTGCTTGGAGACCTTTCGATGACAATGAAGTCATCAGCAAAAGTCGTGCCTGTTCAAATCAGTGAGGGAAACATTGAAATACGGGCAAGACGCATAGTCAATATCGGGAATGAGACGTACCGACTGGGTAAGTGCTCTTCAACAGCTCCTCTTTCTCCCAGAGGTCCCCTGCATTCGACTCATCTTTACGGGCCATCTCCATGATTTTCCGTTGAATGTTGAATGCTTGCGTATTAAAGTCAGCCTCCCGTCATTTCGTCCTCACCGCTCAAAGCATATGCCTACCATATCGTCCCCAAACACCAGCAGAATACGTCTCCACAAGCTTTGAGCCCCCACTGAGCGCGTCCTCAACAAGATCCGGCCGCAACTTGTCGAATGGAACTGTGCGGTAACAGCAGTCGTGAAAGTCGGGATTGTTCTTTGGGTTGACCATTTTGAGAAGGGAGTGTTGGAAGAGGGGGTCGTTGGCCGGGGTGAAGTTGTCGTCGAACGCGCACTGACGCGTCCAGAGGTGAAGACCAGCAGCGCCTGTGATGGTGGTACCTGCGGTGAACTTGGAGATGGTGGCTAACCTGGCCTTTGAGAAGAAGGAAGCCATCACGACGCGATTCAATCAGGCGTTGGAATGAATGAAGCTGATTGGACAATGGGAAACATGCAAGATGAATAAGATGATGGGAGGGGGGCTGCGAAATGGGGATCGTGACATTAAAGTCAATTCCTACCATCCAGGTACGCGGAAGAAATCCGGAACCATTTCTCCGGGTCGATCCGTCCCATAACCCTGGAGGACAATTCTCTTCAAGTTTAGATCGGACTTCTTACCTCATTTTCAAGGGATCTCGCGCCTTCGGCTTTCGGAATTCGGATCTGTCCCAGGGGGACATTTTCCTCTCACTGTTCACTAAACTAGAAGAGCGCCACTCTGCCGACGGCAGACCCACTCGGGCTCCGAGTCCGCTGGGGTTTCCGAGGGCGCCGAATGTTACCGGCGGATGTCAAATGGCGCCGAACGATCGGACCCTTCAAATAATCAGACCTACCGCCTTGTCGTATGAAAAAGTACTCAGCAGAAGAGCCGCGTTCTCCTTATTTCACAGTTGTCAAATGTGGATCTTTGGCTTCAATTACCGCAACTCTTCCACAGCCGTCCAGTCAGTCTTGCCAATGACAAGTAACCACACAGCGTCCCTTACTTGAAGGTTCGAAGTTTCAAGGGCAAGTCACACCCCAACAAGGGTTTAGGATGAGTATTAATATGAATCAATGTTTTGTGTGACTTGGCTACAATCATGACAGTCGCGCCGATGATTTCAGTCCGTCAAACGTCTGAATCTGATCTCTAGAGCTGTTTGCCGACCAATTACCAACCAGTCACAAGTATTTGTGTGGCTCACAACTCAGTCTTAGATCCGGAATCAATCGATTTAGTATGAGCATGCATAGATGGAAGTTTCCGTGAGATGGCGAGATCAGATATTTAAGTAAAAACCGTAGATAATGTTCATGGAGTCTGGATATGTTGTCATCGAACAAAGAAGCAATTTCAACTCCAACTTCAATGACACTTCATAAAAATCAATACAACTCTAATACAAAAGGTAAAACATTTTCGAAGATACTCGCAGATTTTATCAGAAAACAGTCTGCCCAGGATGCCTGGCTTTGCGACAATCTGCTCAAGATGCGGCAGTCCCTCATTCAAGCGGGGCATCTGCGAGCATTGTGGCAAGACTGGACCACCAGATAACTTAAAAAGCAGCGAAGATTCATTCCTTGGATGCTTCTGATCATTCTTTTCAGGGTATCAAAAGTCATGGGACCAGAATGGGTTTAGCCGTGACGGCGAGTTGGTGGACGTCGTAATCGCAGTAGAGAGTGATTAGAAGAAAGTAATCGACTGCGTAGGATAGCCCGGCAGCCCTAGTTCCCCCAGCCAGTATTAGATGCAATAGAGCAATAAGTTCTTAGTAATCGGGATGAGTAACTGTATTCTGCGTGTTTCACCAGAGACTGAGCTACTGCGAGTTTGGCATCAAGCGTCAAGGCCGTCTAGGCGGCACGGCTACGCGAATTGGCCCGATAACCATACAGGCTGTGGACAACCACGAACACATGATTTCGATGATCGTCGAGGCTGGCGAAGATGTATACTTAGTTTTGTATCTTTGAAAATTCCATGTGTTGACAACATGATTCGCACTTTGAGACCCCGACCCGCCATGCACGCCTTTGAATGTTCTCACCATATCTGCATGGTACTTTTTCACGGGCTGTGAATCTGCATGCTGACATGCAATGCTGCCCAGCACAAGCGGGGATACACCACGTCACACGTGCATCGTCACGAGATAATTAGCTGTGGGAGGGACTTTTCGTCTCACCAAAGTCATAGTAAAGCTGTCGGAAAGCATGTGACTCCATATCAAGTCAATACGACTGGTATTACGAATCAGCTCAACAGCATACTTCGTGACAGTGGACAGAACCCCAGTCCGACAGCTCGATACAAGATGGCGGCCGGCCAGTTGGCCGTCAGCCTCGACGGTTTGAGGGCCATCGCCGATGCCACCTTTCGATTAACCTTTAGCTTCACCAAAAGCGACAGCAAGTTGAATTCAGAGATCCGGGCCGTTGCCAACGAGATACAAGACATCGCGGGCTTGTTGCACCAACTTTCTCTATTAGCGTCAGGACTTGAAGAGAATGAGGACCAAATTTCAAACGTCAACGCTGCCCCGCCCCCACTGATCTCATGTCACCGCAGTTTAGAACAACTAGGGGGTTCGCTAAGGAGACGAACAAATAGATCGAACGACGATGGATGCGAACAGAAAAGGTGCGCCGATGTCAAGTGGCCGTTTACGAGGGCCTGGACAACAGATCTCTTGGATGAGCTGAGCGAGCACAAGAAGACAATTTCAGAAGGATTGAATGCAAAATCAATCGAAGATCTGCTACAAGTACTATCAAAAGGGAAGTCTGTGGCGACCATACGTGACGAAGACTGGGTATCCGAAGCTTTTACCGACTTTCTCCAATCCTCTGGCTATTTCCAAGGCATCTACATGGTTCTTAATACCTTTCTACGCGTTCGAGAAGAGTCATACATCATGATACAAGATCGATACAAAAATTTGTCAACACAGTCGAGATTTTTCCAAGAAGAAGAATTCGAAAATTGGCTTGGTAAGGGAGGATCACACTTTCTGTTCACAGCTCCTCTGGGCGGGGGGAGAACCGCCTTCACCGGCGCACTAGCACGGGAAACCTTTCGGCGACGCCGTGCACGAACTGTTGTTGTACCAATCTACTCTGAGCTTCTAGGTACATGTAGATGGGCCTCGGACACCGGCCTGCTTGGCACCATCGTTGCTCAGATCGCGCGCCAGAATCAGGGAGCGTTCAAAGTCCTACGCCGATATTGTCGGGATCTGAGTGGCAAACCGAGATGGGCAACAAACGGAGCGACCATGGCAGGACTGGAAGTGGTCCTTTGGCAAATGTCGACTTTCTTTGAACATGTCTTGGTCATTGTAGACTGCTCAAGGGCTAGAAAACCTGACACCATGCCGACAATTGCCTCTTTGATCAAGACTTCCAAACAATCCGCTCCAAACTTCAGTCTGGCAGTGGTTTATCAAGACCTCGAGACTATTCGAGAGCCTTTGGGTGACCTCGTCACTCATTGGGACATCACACCATCAGTGGCCACCTTGCAGGCTTTCGCTGCCACCGAGGTAGAAAGGCGAGTCAGAACCGGGGCTCTGCGGTTCGAACGGGGAGCCATGAAGGATGCTGCGATCCGCAAACTCAGCGTCGGTGGCGATCACATGTAAGCTAAAGAAACTCCTACGAAATGTGTAACGCTAATAATCAAGACAGTTTCTGGAAGATCACATATCAACTTGACCATCTCTGCGCATTGCAGTCCCACTCCGAGCACGTTGAATTCCTGGAGAAGCTCCCGTGCTCGTTGCACGACACCTACCGTTTAACGTTGGAAGAATTTCAGAAACGGACGCCAGCATCTCGAAGCTTGATTCTAAAGGCTCTTCAACTAATGGAATGTTCGCATCCCGAACTGAGTGCCCAAGAGTTCTGCCAAGCTCTTTCAGTTTCAGGCATTTCTGGGCTAGATCCCGAACTATTGGAGTATCCGGAGGTGGACGAATCAGAGATTCTACGACAATGCAGTCCTATGATCAAAAAATCGCTGGATGGCAACAAATTCGTGTTTACACACGACTCGATTGAAAGATTTCTTAGAAACATCGACCCATCCAGCGATTTGGCTGCATACCGTATCACAAATATCGGAACGAACCGGCTTCTCACTACCTGCTCACTCAGATTCCTGACTTTAGGTCATTTCGCTCGACTTCCAAGCTTATCATTGTCAGAAGCGGATTTCATACGGATCAGGAACGAGAGATACCCCTTTTATAGGTTCGCCGCACTGACTTGGCACAAAATTGCTGCCAGACATTGGCAGGACCCGGAGCTGATCGTAGAAGCCATGGCGCTTTTCGATCCCAAACAGACACCAAATTTCAAGGCTTGGTGTCTTGAAGTATGCCGTCAGTACAGAATAAACAGATCTTGTAATAATTGGAGAAACCGAAAAGACAAAGGCGTAAACAAGAGGCCGGCATCTATTTGCTCAGGAACCACGGAAGTCAACTCTTCCGCTGCAACATGGTCGAACAAAGATTCAGGAGATAGTTCTTCAGATATCCCGCCTCATCTAGGATCATCATCATCCGCGAGTCCACCTCAGAGGAAGAAGATGTCTAAACGATCTTGGGCAGCAGGTCAGACAAGGCGCCTTGCACGTGTGCTAAGGCGAGGCGATTTTACTCCGTTACACATGGCTGCTCTTCTGGGTATCGATCCCATCTGCTTGGAACTAATTCGAATCGGAGAAAATTACAACCGACCGAGCAAGATAGGGACCCCTTTGCAGTGTGCGATTGGAGGGACTTTACTCATAGGTCACCATGAAGTTCCGATATCCAGATTCCCTAGGGCATGGCTTGACCGACCATGTAAAAGCACCATTGAACTGCTGATCAGTGCGGGAGCGGACTGTACACGAGATTTGCCCAGCCAGACATCCCCCTGGAGCACCGCTGGTGCTTTAGCCCTGAAATCCTCGGAATGGGCTGGAGATTTCCAAATCTTCGCGGTCGTCGTTAGAGGTGGTTCTCAGCTACACGATGACGCTATCGTTGTGTTCCGGTCGATCTGTCGCAAATGGTCCAAGCATAAAGATTCGGAGGCCAAGGAGCATATTCAGGCCATCTTGCAAATCTTAGAGGGAATGGTTGAAAAGAAAGAGGGTGAATCGTTGGCTTATCTCAAAGCTTTCCAGAAGGCGGTCTCGGAAACGACTGACATCGACATACCACTGCCCATCTCGCAAGGCATATCCGACGACATGCTTGTCCAACAGATGTGGAGATCAATCGACGATGACAACTTGAAAGCCCTCGAGGACCAAACTCAAAGCAATATAAGAATCAAGGATCTCCTGAAAGGCGGCATCTTGACGAAACTGCTCGACTTCGCTGTCGCATGCTCAGCTGTCACCTGCTTAGACCACTTGCTCACAAATTACATGGCCGAAAACGGCTCACATGATTGGAAAAGCAAAGCTGTGCTTTATTGCGTCGAAGATGGAAAGGAAGAAGTCCTCTTATGCTTATTGAAGAATGGTGCCCAAACCATGAGAGCCAATGCGAGAGGAAGCACCATCTGGCATCTCGCAGCTGCTAAAGCTTCATCATCTAGGATTCTCAAAGTCTTACTTGAAAACAGCGACGAAACAGAACGAAAAGATGCCTTGAGAATGGTGAATGAGAGTGGCCGTACCGTGCTTGCCAAAGCGCTTGTCAGCAAACAATACTCAAACGCCTCCATCATCCTCAAATACTGCGGAAAGGATCGTGCGTGCCTGAAAAGCAGACATCCATTACTACCTTACCTTGTGGCAGGTATTCAGGATAGCGTCTTACTCAAGGAGTTGCATGACTGCGAAATGTTTCAGTTTGTGGCTAAAGATACACCTCTCAATTATTTCCATATAGAAGATTCGGCAGGTGTGGAAGCGGCTCGCCAACTCCTGAAAATGTTTCCCTACCCTTGTTCCGATGAGCCTCCAACGCCCTTGAGGATATACCTGTCAAAACCCGACTTGAACATTTACAAGAAAGAACTTGTAACACTTCTTGTCCAGAAAGAGCTGTCTGCCGCACCTAGCGTCAACGGTATTCATACCTGGCAGTACTTCTGCAAAAGAGTGTGGGATTATTTCAGAAGAGCATCGGAAGCTGAGGCCTGGGAAGTTGTCGAACTCGTAAAGCTCATGGTCCATCTCGGTTGCATGGACGATTATGAAAAAGCTAGAGAAACATCTGGGCTGGTAGAGATCGTTTCTCTCTTTGATGCCGAGTGCAAGGCGTCTGCGTTTACACCTGACAACGACGCTGTACTTGCGACTGAAGAGATATTCGGCACTGTTTATGACACAACTACCTTACCTCAGTACTACAAAAGTAGTGGTATGGATATCAGGGTCATCAAGTGGACTATTGCTCACAATTCCTGGCATCTGTTTCGTCGTCTTATACACTTGGATATTGACGTTTACAAGAGGGACAAGGGGACAAACTTGTTGGAGTACGTGTGCTCTCACGGTACCGAATTCAACGGTCATAGGATGCTCGTGAATCTTTTGGAACGAGCTGAGAAAGATCGTCTGAACGAGCTGAATCCCGATGAAGACCTTGGTCTCCTACACCTACTAGGAATGCCATATGGCAAGGATGACCTATCTTCAGATAGCAGTCCCTTGTTTAGTCCTAGTTTTATCCCGATGGAAATCTTTAGTCTGCCACAAGGTCCACCTTACCCTTTACGTTTACGGCCGGGTGGATTTGCGGCATTGAGAACACCACGCGACAATCCAAAGTTTAGCCTACTCCAACGACTGCTTGACGAGCATATGGATTGCCAGCTGCTCAGCAAAAGGGGTAATTTCTCAGCTCTGAGTACGCACATAAGATACTGTTATCTTGACACGGCACGGCTTTTACTTCTATGCGGATCATCAGAGATCCTATCTACTTCTGACAAGTTTGGGTGGACTCCTGTAGCGTGGGCATGCGCGCATGGTTATACGGACATCATCGACCAGATGGTTGCATCCTCCTGCTCTAAACCTATTTGGAACTTCCAGGTTGAGGCGACATTGGGTGTCGAAGCAGCTCCCTCGTTCACGAAGCCCTACCACGGCCTCTGCGCTCTGCACCTCGCGGTACTTGCCTCAGCACAGACTGTGTCGTTTCTGCTGGATCGCGGCTTTGCCTCGGACCTTGATATCACTGATGCGCAATCGCATACCCCTTTACACTTTGCCACAATGTTCGGGCAACTGGAAACTATCAAAGAACTTGTTTCTCGGGGATCGAATATCAATGCCAAGGACTGCGACGGATGGACTCCCTTACACTTCGCAATCAATTTCAACAAGAGAGACACTGTTGAACTTCTTCTGGAGCTCGGCGCGGCCCATATGGAAACGAAGAAAGGAGAAACGCCGCTCGACTTTGCGATACCCAAGGAACAATACTATATTCAACGAGTCAAAAGGTCCATCCAAGAAAACCTGAAGACTGGCGCAGAAATTCACTGTGACAAGCAGTGGCTGTCCTCTCTCTCTCAAGCCATGGAAAAGGCCATCATTGACGGCGATACTAAAACTTGTAGAAACCTTCTCGGGGAAGGCTGTCCGGTTGACATCAAGATGAGATCTTGCCATACTTGCACAGCTCTCATTTTCGCATTGTCACGTAATGAGATGTCTGCGAGCATCGTCGACACTCTTGTGGAACACGGGGCAAGTTTCCGAGGAACTACCTGTGCCAGTCATACGTGCGGAAACTTCAAGCGATACGGAATCCGCCATTTCAGCGAGTACACTTCAGATGACTGCTCATGTTCCTCATCATCTGATAGTGATGATGACAAAAAGTACCGGCAGCCTGCCTGGCCATCGCTTGGGTCTACCAGTCTTGACATGCTCATGTGGGAGGACGATCTGTTCGAGAAGATTTCGACATGGCTATGCTCAGTTCCGGAAGAAGACATGATCTGGCTCATTGACAATTCCATAGCCGTCCATGTAGCAGTGGATCGCGGCAGCGTTAAGGCTCTACGGGTTCTCTTATCTCATGCTGCTAAGATCGGCGATGAATGTCACAGAGACTTGGCTCATGAGCTTGTGAACAGGACTGGATGGCGTTCTGGATTCAACGTAGCCTCGCCTCTCCAGGACGCAGTCGATGCTTGCAGCCTGGAGCTTGTCTGCCTTCTCCTCAAATATGGAGCAGAAGTTGACAGGCAAACCGCTATGAAGGGAACGGCACTTCACCAAGCTGCGAACCAGAAAAGCATCGAACTTGCACGACTTCTTTTGGAGCACGGGGCCTCGCTTGCGATAAGAGATTATTATTGCGGATTTACCCCTCTGGAAGAAGCAGTCCAGTCTCGCAACACCAAGATGGTGGACCTCTTCTTAGAGCACGGGGCATATGTCAGATATTCCCAACACGCTGACACATCCTTGGTGTGTGGATCCACGGAAACTGCAGTTCTGATGCTAAAATCAGGCATCCCTCTTCAAACGATAGGAAGGTATGGCGTACCCCTCTGGACACCGGCGTGTCTCAAAACCTGGCTTGCGACTTTCATCTTAAATTCCGATTATGGTCATTCAATAGCATCTGATGTGACTGCACCCAAGCTATGGAAGATTCTATCCTACGTCTACTACATTGAAGAGCGGGGTCGTTTCCGGGGTTTTCTTCGTCTGCTGTATCGGCGAAGTGGACACGATTCCATACGAGACATGACTGAGTCCGATAGAAGAGACAGTGAAAGATCGTATGGCGTATTGTGCCTCTTAGCTGATCTCGGACTTGTTGAAGAGGCCAAGTTGCTGCTAGACTTGGGTTGCAACATTGAGTTTGAGGGAGGTTCGACTGGCACTCCGCTGATGGCAGCAGCTCATGGGGGTCGGCTAGACGTAGTCAAAATGCTCGTCTATGCAGGAGCACGGATATGGTACGAGAAGGATGAATTAGGCAGGAGTGCGGTTGCGGCAGCTCAGGATTTCCCAGAAATCGTAAGCTGGCTGTTAGTTGGAAGATTTACGGAGCAGGCGAAAATTGAGGTGGCCCCGCCTGGCTGGCTGACGGACCAACAAAGCGAGATTCGCCCCTGGAGCGGTTATCGCCTTGGCAAGTTCTCTCTGTCAGGAAAATACGCTCGGCATTGGGGAGATTCAAGCTTGAGATGGTTGTCGTGTTTGGAAAAGGCGCGAAGGAACCTGCGGGGACGAGTTGTCATATCACGGTCATGGGACAGGGAAGACTGCTAGGAACGAGGAACAATAGGTAAACCTGAATGACTTTTCTAGGATTATAACCCGTCACATGCTAGGATTCGTCTGCATTGCATTATGCAGTGTTCCCAACTCAATGTGGTTAAAGCATCCAGTCAACAATGGAGACCTTCGCCCAAAGTAACCGACTGGTACATAAGTAGGTACGACACCGGCAGCAGACAAAGACAGGGAAAACGGTGGCAAATTTTCCGAGGCTGTAGCCAGTGCGTGTTTAGTCATTTGTCCAACCGTGATAAGACCGTAAGTCCGGTCCAGGGGACTGCAAGTCCAGACTTCCAACGACTACCATGCAGGTCGGGATGAAGGAACCAATCTAGCCCGCTCGATCCTGGCAAACTTTTCAAAACTGCCGTAAATAGGAGGGTGACTCCGCCCTGCTGAGACGTTGTTCAGATTGTGACCATCTTTTCATTTTTGAGACCAAGTGGTGGATCGTCATCAAGATGGGCAGCATATTCTCCAAGACTACGCCCAAGGCACCGGCAACAGTGGCTACGGACACGATCATCCCCTTGAACGCCAATGATGATACTGCCTTCAACAGGGGCATTGTCATGGGCTTCATGATGCGCTTTGACAACGTCTTGAACCCAGAAAGGCTGCACTTGTCACTTACGAAGCTGCTAGGCCGTGAGGGATGGCGAAAGCTTGGTGCCAGAATAAGACTGAACGTAAGCTCCGATCTCAAGTACCTGAATATATGCCGAGACAGCTACTCACATATACGGCAGTCTCAGAACAAGCTTGAGTATCATGTACCTGAGCTATACAATTCGGAAAGACCAGCTATTGCGTACTCGCACCAGAGGCATGACTGCAGCATCAAACACCATCCGCTCGCTGCGCGGCTGCCGAGAGCAACTTCAGGGCCAGCAGTTATAGGGACTCCACCCGAGAAGTTCCAGGATTTAATGCGAAGGCCAGATGGCCCCAAGTCGATGCAAGACTACATATATCGCGATGAACCTCAACTGAGTCTGCACATCGTCTCCTTCGATGACGCGACGCTTGTCAGTTTGACATGGCTGCACACGTTGTGGGATGGGATCGGAAGGCAGGAGCTTCTGACTGCGTGGACTGCCATTCTCGAGGGTCGCGATGACGATGTCAAATTCTTTCACGGATTTGACACAGATCCCCTGGAAAAGCTGGGAAAGAACTTTACAGAGCCATTTGTTCTGGCTGACCAGCGGCTTTCAGTCTGGGGACTGGTCCGACTCGTCCTGAGGTATGTTTGGGACATCCTCCGTCATCCTTTTGAAGAATCTCGCATTGCTTGTATACCGGCAGCGTACATCGAAACACTCAAGAAAAAGGTCAACCAAGAGTTGAGCGAACAGAGCACCGGCCCAGACAAGTTATTCGCCAGCGAGGGAGACATTGTTACTGCCGTCATCGGCCGCCTATGGTCGCAGCATTTGCCCGCAAACACCAACAAGCCGATTGTCCTCGGAAACGTCATCAATATACGTCCTGCGCTTGCTCAGGACATTCTTCCAGAAAAGGCCGCATTTATATCAAACGCCACATCCCTGATCATAACCACCATCACCGCAGAGGACCTTTGGACAAAGCCGCTGAGTTACACGGCTGCCGCGGTACGACGATCTATTCAAGAGCAAGGGACTAAAGCCCAAATTGAAGCTCGCAAAGCCCTAGAAAAGAAACATTCTGCAGCTTTCTTTGGTGACAAGAAGATGCATCAGATTTTACTGTCAAACTGGGGCAAAGCGAAATTCTTCGAAACAGACTTCTCTTCCGCCGTTGTCGAGCCTCGGCTAGCCTCTGTTACTGAACCGCACAAACTTGGGAGTCCCTCGCTGATTCTCAATGCGAACTATGTGAGGGGCTACCCACTTAGATTTGCGGGTCCAATAATTGGCAAGGACTTAGATGGCAATATTTGGTGGGGTGGCACGTTGCGGACAGGTCTTTGGGACAGAATTGCGCAAACCTTGGAAGATCAGGGTTGGTATTTGGTAACCAAGTAGTCTGCTTGATTCTATCTGCACCACGTCTCTATCTCTTGTCTATACATGGATAGCTGGTCTGTTGAGCTCTAGTCACGTCTGCTCGTGAGTTCGCCTTCGTTCCGTACCCAATTTACATCATTATTTTCCCAATAGTAGTTTCAGGCCCTTCAAGGCTTGCTCGTTAGCCGTGAACAGAATGCCACCGGCCAAGACCGTGCGTCCCAGTCGCATGACTGTTCCCCTCCAAAGGCCCTTGACTCCATCCTCGGCCATGATCGCGCGAAACGACTCCATTGTGCCCACGGCTTTGGCCTGTTGAGCCTTCGTCTTGATCGTATCAAATGGTTGCGTCGCTACGGTCGTGACTGTGCCAGCAAGCGCGCCGTTGGCAAAGCTCATGATCGGACTCTCAGGGCTGATTCCTTTGCTGCGCTCGAAGTCTTTAATGATACTGTAGCTGCCGAGGCGAAAACCCGTAGTGCCAATTTGTTTCAAAGTTGTGGTGATGTAGCCACGCCAAAGAGCCTTCAAGATGCCTTGTTCTCGCGTAAGAGTTTTGATGCAATCTATCGCACCCGCGAATCGTCGCGTTGTCTTGGCATCGTCGATGAGCGCTGTCTTGATGCGCTCGCTCGGTGTGACAATGATCGTACTGCTGACAATTCCAGCCACCATTCCTGATGCGATGCTTTGCATTGGTCCTAGCGTATGCATCTTCTTGTCTTCAAAGACGGAGCGGATGCTGTCGAACGCGACGAACCTCACCGCGTCCTTCCCGATAGACCCCACGATCATCGTGCTGCATCCCTTGTAAAGCGCTGGTAACCCCTCGTCGCGCGCAACGCGCAGGACAATCGCAAAGGGGTTCCGTGTGCCTTTCTGATGTCCATAGAGTTGTACCCGCGTCTTGGCGAACTCAAATGGGTACGTGCAGGCGGCTTCTACACCGCCGGCGATGCCTCCCGCGGCGAGTGAGAGTAGCGGCGATGTCTTGCCGTCCGCCGGAGCGACCATCGCGAACCCGATCTGCCCCTGGGGCGTATTGATTCTACACTTTTTGTTGAAGTGAGCGCTCTTGATTTGTAAAAGAATCAAGATAGAAGTAAGCAGGCTGGTCTTGATTCTTGGACTCGACGTTGGGGAAATACGTCAAGATGATTTATGAGGGTTGCAATGATCGACCCGGCCCGGTGTTCGCCTCGGTTAATTGTCGGCCTCATGGAGACGCTTATCGCCGGATGCTCTTCGAGCTAGGTTAACACCTTAGCGGCGATTCAATGCCACACGCTGAAAACCCCGGGTTTGTTCTTCAAGTTGTTGATACACCCTATGCGACTTACAAACCAGGACTTTGTCACTATCTATGTGAGCATAACTAATAGTGATAGGTAATTGATCGACTTATCGTGATTCTATTCTCTTAAGCCTCGATTGCTAGTGACATATGGTGGTTTCCTAAAGAATAAGTAGATGAACGTATTGGATTTGCGTCGGCGTAGTTACTGAGGTCGACGAGCCGCGTTGGTAGTTCTACCTCCCCGACGGGGAAGCAAGCGTGGTCCGCTTGGCATTGGAAGATCTCTGCTTGGGCAATTTGCCAATGACTTGGGACTGATTGGTCTTTAACACGGTACGAGATGTTTCTCAGAGATCATAATTGCATGTGACCGCTGCCATTAGGGAGGTTGCAGCTCATACTGTGTGGTTCTACAACTCCCGGCTCCCGTTCCGAGGCATCATTGCCACATGCACACTCTTGCGGCGGCATGGAGCCTACATCCACTCTCAAAAACAGCAGTCAAAAATTCTCATAGCCCTTGAGGATCAATTTTTTGGTGGTATGTCGAGTGATCTTATTTTCGCGGGCTTGGCCCGTTTTGCGAGCTTCATCATGACGCTTCCCTGGCACTCCCCGCTCCCATTTATCGTCTTCAAGCAGAAGGCTCTATGTATTATCATACATAGACTGCAATTCTTCTTTGAGGCTGAGATGTCAGCTAGATTGCCCACCATGCGAGACCAATCAAGGTCGTCCAGACCCGAGGGTAAATTGATGGTTTGGCAACGAGCGCACAACGGCTGCATGCCAGTCAACGCCGCCACTTCTGAACCAGACAGACATGAATCGGGAAGCGTCAGGCCTCTTGTACCGAATCTATCAATTTAAAAGTGACGTTGTAACTTGTCAAACCGGGTCAGCCAATGCCCAAAGTAAGGTAAGCAAGGATATCCAAAATAGTTGGGGAAGATAGTTATTAGGTAGCTCCGAGCTCAACTACGGCCCCGAAAGAGGACCAACAGTTTTTTAGAACTTCTTGTTGTACAGCCCCTGAGGATTTGAATTGGTCAAAGAAAATGCCGACGGAACTTACGTCCTTGAACTTAATAAGGCTCAGATGTCGAAGCTCGAAGACATGGAGCCACCCTTCCATCCCCCTCCATACCCCTCACCGCATTTAGGCAGCAGTTCTCCTATTTTGTCTCCGCTCTCAATTTGCTGACATTCTTCTGGCCACCGACAGACAGCCTCAATTAGGCCACAATAAACCTCCTCCTAGGACCTCTATGTTGAAGCTTTCGGTGTTCTAAGAATTATGCTCCGTGTCGATGATGCGGTTTGAATCAACTAATTGACACAGACCACAAGTAGACCTGCGCGTTGATCTGTAATTTCCAAGCCCATTATAGCCTCAGTTGTGTACTTCCATGTATTTGCTCGTCGAACTTCTGGACCCGCGTATGACTTGATGTTCCTCATGATACGCGACTGCGTCCTTCAGATATATGGTTCGTGCTTCTTCTCCTGCTACGGCAACGATACACACACCCACAGCTGCTGTGGGTGGCTCTGCGCCTGCTTCCACAAACTTGTCCTTGACTTCAACGTCTTCGAATCTGCGGCATAGAGTTGCACCTGAAAGTACACAAAGAGCACTTCAAGGCGGCCCTGGTGTCCATATTCATCGGCATCGCATCCGATGGGCGGCTCACAGTAGGCGTGTGAGGCCCAGACCCAGCACAAAACACCAATTGTCAGGGCCGAGCTTCTGATCGAGGTCATACACAGAGGGCGAAGTTCATGTGAACTACCAACGATGGAGATGATTCCGTCCTCCACGAGTGGAAGTAAAGCTAGACGCAGCTACTTTACGTAACGCTTTCCAGGTAGATTCAAAGCTGCTCAAAGTAGCAAACAGTCACTGCGCGGTAAATGCCGTCACGTCCCGACGTATATGGATCAATTAGACTGTCCGAGAAGCGGGCCGAGCTCAACAGAGAACGTCGACCGATACTGTTCGGGCAACAGGGAAACAGTTGGCCTCAGTCACGGTGTCGGGCCGTGAGAATCTCCCTCGTTTACCTGACTCACATATATACTTTTTGCCCGAATGACCTGGGATCACCGGAGTCTTTAATGTCGTGGACGATAATTCAAGACCCAGATGTTGAATGATCGCTCGTCGAAGAACACTGTTGAGATGAGCGATTTTCATAAGTTGTTGAGTTGGAGCCATGGGACTAAATGGCGAGGGATGTGCCATCGCCTCGGACTTGAGGACAGAGCTACCAAGTATTCCCAGTTCAAGTTTCTTACTTGCTAGTCGTGAGTATCAGAGTGGTATGGGATCTTGATTTCATACGATACTTAGTAGCATTTAAGCCCATGAGTTGGTAAGGCTTAAAGGGAGGGCCTTTGATAACCCACCGGCTCGCCAACGCTCCAGTCCTTATTCAGTGCGCCTCGACGGATAATTACTCTCTACATACCGGCTACGAGCTGAATATCTCGGCCTCAGCTAGCTTTTGATGGTGGAGCAGGTGGGCCTAGACGTCTTTTGGTTGCGGCACGGCCATCTACGACGGTTAGGCAGCAGCATTACAGAAAAATTTCACTCTAGCATTGAAGCGGGATGCCCCCTGTGTTGAGCTGGCTGCCTCCGAGAAGTATACATGTGATCCAGGGCTCAAAGTTCTTTACCTCTATTACTTGCCTCTTAAAGACAAGATGCAATGTTAACAATAAACCGGAGGCACTCTTGTAGACATCACTCGCGCAGAGCGCTTGGACCTGGACGCGGATGAGGTTATGTTGTAGGTCGTAAAGAATCTGCAGAGTACCACTGTGCGCTTCATGCAATTTAAGAACGCAGGATCTTATCTTATAGATCTCTTGCGTCCAGGATAGCCATATATTGCGGTTCACTGGGTAGGATGTTCCTTGATGCAGGTAGTACAAGGCGCTTTCATACCCTTCCTACCTTTGAATGAAACTCACCCAGGGGAGCCCCTTGCCGAACCACGCAAGTGATGTAGAAAGTCTTCGGGAAATGGTTATGCTGTTCACATTTTCAGGAAACTTGTCATTTGACCATAAAAGTTGAGTGGCCACCTCGGGGTCCTTTTACCTCAACATGGCGAAGTCTGGTTGCTTAGGTGCCTACTTTATCATGTAATACCAGCTTCCGAAGATGTATTAACTTTGGTTGCTATGTCCACGATGTAGGGTTCTGACAATACAAACTGGTAATAGCTTCCAATTCATCTCAATATTCAAGCGACGCGTCATCGCTCAATTGCACTTTCCTGGTGCCTGGAAATGTCTCCCAGCGGCGTCTTGGCGATGCCTAGTTCCCGAGATCGTCAGCCCAAATCCATCTGCAGACAACTTATCCGCAGCAAGAGAATTGCAAATGTCATGAGAACCAACACGAGACACTACGCAAATTACAGCAGCACAGCCTCTGTGTAGTCGGACAGGGGAACTGAGACATCATGGATGCCATACCTTGAAGGTAGCCAGCAGATTTCGGAGCTTGATATCCCAATGAAGAGGTCACTAACATGTAACCACAAGCTTGGGGCGTGGTGCGGAGTATACGCCTACCTGGATTGGCGGTCGACCAAGGGCGCGCACTCCTCTTTGGCCAAAAGTGGTAAGTACCCCTAAAGCATGCATTTAAGTCATTGAGCAGAATGCCTTCCCGTTGTGATGAAGACTCAAGTTGTACCAAGGGCGGCTTCTTGGGCAGTCGAGGGTTCTCGAGCAACAATGAAAATGAGATATAAATCCATGGAAGCATCCCACCACATCTCGACCAGACCTTTCAATGCTATAGCACAGCCAATATCAGCCTTCAACTTCTTGAGACTTTGACATGTTCTCATTCAATCTTAATAGCTCGCTCTCGGGCTCTGATCTGCCAGTTCGGATAATGCTTTGCCTTCTTCACTTCGTCTTTGGATCCATCTTTTTCGATATCATACACTGGCTTGCCCACCAGTCCAACAGATCTCGCTTCCGAATACTACGACTACTTGCCAAGGCTCACTCAATTCACCATCAGTACTTTGACCGTAATCTGAGTTTCAACGAGCGATTCAGCCGTCGAAATATCGTCTGGCATCTATCACTTGAGGTGTCTTGTCAGATGATTGGCAGCACAATGAGCTGGCTTCTCGGCCCTTTATTCATGCGCAAGGCTTCACTTTCCCAGTTCCAGGACCTGATCATCATACTCTTCGTCCAAGCCGGTAGAGCAGCCGTTGTGACATGGAACTCTGGGAATGATTCAAACCACATTCCTTACCCGCGGCTTCCGAAAGACCCTTTCACCTTCTTTGTTGGGCCTGAGTACCATGCTCTTCACCACATTGAACCTCTTGCCTACTTTGGGTCAATGGTGCGCCTGATCGACTGGTTCCTCGGTACCGGGGTCTCACTCAGGGGCCGGCGCGTAACAATGACGGGGTCTAGAGGAGCCCTCGGCCAGGCCCTGACGAAGCAGCTTCACCTTCAAGGTGTTCGATGCATTCATACCCCGAAATTTGGAGTCGACTGGACGTATGACGACTATTCCTACTTTGAGTCTATCCTTGCGGACACCGACATACTCATTCTCGCCCACGGGTCCAAGAACGATGACAATGCCCACGAAGCAAACTGCAAGTCCCCTGTTACTATCATAGAGCTTTTCAAGAAATTTTGCGAGCGGCGAAAACTTGGATTACTGCCAGAAGTTTGGTACATCGGTAGCGAGGCCGAATTCCACGGTTCATGGACGCAAGACATGGAGGACTACACACAGTCGAAACGCGCATTCGTACCGCACGCCCGAATGTATTATGGAGACGATTTCTTCAACTATCGGCACATAGTTCCAGCAGCGTTTACCTCAAGAATGGGGAGTGGGTTCATGTCTGCTGATTCTGCTGCCAAGGTAGCTCTTTGGTGGATTCGGACAGGCGCACGATATGTTCCGGTCACCTACACCGGATTTGCGTATCTCAATTTCTTCAGGTTCAGACTGGGAGGTATTGGTAGCAGGTTGACGAAGGGCCCAACTCGAGGAGCTTCTGAGATTTTGCGCATCATTGATGGAGAACGGGCTAAACTCTGGCGTTGAGAATATCCATCCGGGAAAGCGTACCTGTGTGTCCCACACACTTCACTTCGTGTTCGTATCAGTTCTGTAAAGCTCCCGCACATGTTCCAAGACACAATTCAACTTCCACATACACATTCTTTGTAAATCATCCTACAGTTCTCGGAGGAGGTCCGTAGCTTGAGCTCCATCTAAGCAGTGAACATGTCAGTTGCGGGTCGTGGGCGACCAACGTTTGCGTTTAGTATCCACACGAGGGCTTCAACCACCCACCTCGAGCCCACATGATCGTCTTGTCGCCGCGTCATCATCACGGAAGTGATTCCGGTTCAATTGGTCTATTAGTCTAGTTGGTTAGGACGTCGGATTCTGATTCGAAATCGCAGATTAGTTTCTTCCGTAAGCCCAGGTTCGAATCCTGGATGGACCTTCACGTTTTGCACTTTATGATAGAGGTGTATTGAGGCGTGATGTTGTTCAAGTTTTGACTCTGTGATCGTATTTCAGGACCAGTCTTTGGCGGCCTACGAGCGTTGTAAGGCTGGCATCCTCTAAGTCTTTTGCTCTCGCTTGGATTCAGTCAGCTCGCGAAGGTGATGTTCACTTGGACTATAAGTATCATGGTGTTGCACCTCTCACCTTAAAACAACAGCCGCAATTGCCCCGGAGCTCCGACCTTCCGACTAGCTGGCCGGGGTGCGGATGTCCGTGAGTGACGAATGACGCAGAAAATATTCGGGCTGGTGTTCCGTGGTGTACTCCAGACGAAACAGTACACGTTAGCTGCGAGCTTCAGCTGAGACTTATGTGACAGGTCGATGCTACCAATTTGAGATGCCGCTCTTGAAAACCAACAGCAGTCCCGCATGTCATTTGCAGGCGGGTTTTGAGTTGTCGCAATGATGGGGAAGTACGGCGGGAAGCACGGCACCTGCTAAGTTAAGGTTACTGATACTATCAACATCAGATGAATATCGCAATGCTTTATGAACCAAGGTAAGCCGTGGTCAACTCACAACTTGCCCGTATCTGTCACCGGTAGGTAACTTTGGCCAAGATTAACACACTTAGCAAACCAATCGAAGTTATTGGATAATGTACACA